GTCCTCTGCCTTGCACTGGCACGGCCGCTGGTCTGAGCTCTTAGTGAAATGATTTGACTCTCTAAGATGGCAAGAAACTAGCCCCACAGGAAAAGTACATTTTTTTAATATATATATATATTTTTTTTTTTTTACTGCATCAGCTACGAGTGCTTATATTCTCAAAGATAAAGGCAGGGGAAGATCTGAAAAGAAATCCATAAACTTGGAAGTTACAGAGCTTGTGACAAAACAGTGGCTATATTTACTTGACTATAGTATTGTACCTCATGACAGTCTAAGAAAAGAAAAGGGAAGTGGGGCATTATATGGGAAATAATGGCTTAGAAGGAACCTGTGGGAAAGGATTCCTTTGGGGATGGAAGACTACCCAAGGTCCTATGTGTTTTAGAAAGTGCTTTGTTTTCTTGACACAGTAGACTTCTCACAATGTAAATATCTGTGTCCTCTTCTTTTAAAGGTATGGAAGTCCTGGAAATGTAACTAAAGAATACTTTGAATTCTCCGAGTTTTTTTTAAAAACCTACGCTGTGGGCATACAACAGGTATGTACCGTTCATTTGTTTCTGAATTAGAACATTTTGGCTGAACCAATGTATTGTTTTCAACAGTGTGCTCGTATCAAAGTTCATTCATTAAACAAAAATGAACGGTCAGGCAGGTTTTCCTTTTAGTGACTGAAAAGTTCTTTAGATCTTGGTGCTATACAACTGAGGTGTAACACCACAAATTTTCAGCAATTCAAAACAACCTTGCAGGAAAATTCTCAGAAAAGGCGAGTGCTGATAAAATGGTATTATCACCATGTATAAACATTCTAGATACAGCTGAGAGAAAACACTATTGATGCAGAGGCCTCATGTCATAGAAGGGTGTATTTTCAGGCTAGTCTTCAGTAAGTGCTTTTGCTGCAAATAACTTAGGCACAGTAATCCAATGATACTGTTTTATTTCAGGAAGATACAAGCAGATTAGAAAGTGTCTGGAGAACAGCAATAAAAGTTATTTTATACCTGGAAAGCATATTTTATGAAAATACAGCATAAATTCACAATTTGCAAGGAAATTATTTTTGTTGGGGAATGCTAATTATTTGTGATTAACGTGGCGTTGTGGAGACGGTTCAGTTCTGATAAAGTTGCACAGAAGAGAGGCAGTTCCTGTCAGTTTTCTGTGTTTTTCTGCCAGCTCATCTGTGGGCCCCTGGGAACGTGGGCTTCCAGGCTTTCAGCATCTCCCTGGTTTGGTGGAATGGCTATAGCAATTGGGTGCCTGAAAGCCCTGAGGGCGCTGGCTCCCAGGCTCAGATGTTTTTGGCACAGCTCCTCCTGTTTCTCATTCAGCCTGCCGTACACTAGATGACTAGGAGCGGTAGTTCCCAGGCTTTTGGCTCAGCTAAAGCTCTTGGGTGTCCAGCCTTTTGGGCTACATATTCCAAACAGGCTCCTAAGAAGCCAGGAGAATGCAGTACTCTCTCCTGCTCGTGATTCTGGGCTCTTGATTCCCTTTGGCCGATAAGCCTTGAAAAACACCTGGGAATGCTGTTTTTCAAGTGACAAGCGTTTGGATAATATGTATTTCCAGAATATGTGGCTTCTCAGCACACTGCCAGGTGAAATATCCCTGACACAGCATCTGCAGGCTTTGCACAGTTCAAATTTCCAGTGTCTTCAATGCAGGATGCCAGGCTGTTGTTGTCACTTCAAGTCAAATTTAAACTAGATTTCAAAATACCAGGATTGTCTGCAAAACAAAAATACTTTTCTCCATCCAGTTTGACAACAGAATAGTTTATCCATCAGCGTATTAATTCTGTGTAAATATGTAAATGTTAAGAACAAGAGAAATGGTTGTGGTAAGGCTGTAGGCATTAAATGAAAAGAAAAGGGAAACAGTCTAATATCTGTTCTAAACTCCTTGCAACGTTTAACTCCTGAGTGGAGAAATAGACTCCCATGGGCATTTGTCATTTGAAATACTTAAAAGTTTTTCTGTTAAGAGATTAGGCTATGTAGCAGAGGGAGCAGTTTAGCTTTCAAGATAAATGGACTGGACAATCTGCACATTTTTTCCATTTCTGGCTCTTAAATGCTGATTTGTCACATTTCCTTGCAGAGTTAGTAAGAATTCTGTTGTGAATATTACATTACTAAACCTTCATTACTTCCTTGTCACTTGTTAAGTGCTGACATCGTGCTAGAGTCCATATGAGATGCCCACATGGAGCGTATTGTATAAAAGACTTAAGATCAGACTTAGTACTCCCAATGAAGGAGTTATGTTCAAAATAAGATTTATTATAATGTTGTGAAGAATTATGAAGCAGAATTGTCCTTCTGAAAATATATGACTATTTTGTTATGCATTGCCCTTGATTTTTATTGTTATTCATGTACATGCCAATTCTTTACACTTATTAACACTTAATAGTTCATCTGCCATTAATGCAGATTAGTGGCTTTGTACTGTAGGTTTTTCTTAGTAGAGCAAGCCTTTATATTAAGGAAGCTTTGTGTGATACAGTTTGTGATAGCATGTTAGGTGATACTATCTGATGGTTACAACAGGTAATTGAAGTTAAGG